CTGTGGCCAGGAGGGCTGTGGAGATGGGAAGGTGTAGGATGGAGGGGTGGAACTTGTCAGATGGAGCCCAGGGCCCAGGCAAGAGAGCAGTGGCCGGTAAGGGTGACAGTGGGCAGGAGACCAGTTGGACAGACCCCTGACTCCCAGGCAGAGGGGCCGTAGCACGGAGCTGGAGGGAGGGGAGTGTTGGGAGTTGTGCTTTGGGTGGGGAGGGGCGGTGGTGAAAGGAGGGAGGGGAGGAGGTTCTGGAAGGGAGGGGCTATGTGGCCAGGAGAGAACAGGGCCTGGAGTGTTGCTTTCTGTTCAGGAGCCTGGAATCCGAGGAGATGCTCTGGGTTCGTGGTGAGGCCCGCAGGGAGAAAGCAGAGGATGTGGGAAGGCCTTAGCTTCGGTAATGGGTTGGTGGCTGCCAGTGACCTTGAGCCAGAAGAATGTGCTGTGTGGGAGGTTTGGACAGCCGGAGGGAAAATGGAGGAATTATGATTCATTTGTCTACCTTTTTCACCCAATTTGGAAATATGGGCTTTTCCTTTCTTTATTTTTTTTCAGTAACCCTCTTTCTCATGAGAATAGAGCTTCTTTATTAATTTGTTTTTATTAATAAGTATTTCTAGTTACTGAGAAATCAGAAGTTCAAGATGCAGCCCCAGCCTTTTCTGCTGGTGCCCTGGCGGTGCCCTGTAGAGCAGTGATGACGCAGGTGCTGGACGGGAAGGGCCCTTCTTACCTGCGTTGGTTAAGAGAGCTGGAGTTGGAATGAGAAAGCTCGGCCTGTGTTTCTGAGAGTGGTGGCCCTCAGACTTGAGTGTGCATCGTGGTCGTCTGAGCACTTATTAAAACCCAAATTGATGGCCCAACCACAGAGTGTCTGATTTAGTGGGTCGTGGCGGGGAATGCTAAGTTTGCACTTCCAGCAAGTTCCCAGGTGATGGTGATGCTGTGTTCCAGCAACTGCACTTTGAGAACCCTTTTCCTGGAGAGATTATCACACATAGCTCCGCGTCTCAGCTGCAGACTGGCATGGGTGGGGTCTTAAGGAGGCATTGGGCTTCAGTGGGCTTGGGGGTGGGGAGGCAGTGGTGCAGGAGGACCCGAGGGAGGCGGGGTAGGCTGCAGGCAGGTGGTCTCGGCTTCAGGCCCAGCAGTGGGGCTGCCGCTGGGGCCTGGCTTCTGGGGGCCACTTGCTGCCCAGGGAATCCAAGCGTGCTTCGCTGCTGCAGTGAGGGTGCTTGTCCTGGGCCAGTGGATAGATGTGAGCAGAACACAGGCTAAATGTTTGCCGAGGGCCCACCTCTCCTCCCCAGGGTAGTGAGGTGAGGGGCTCAGGGAGGCTGTCACCCATTTTGAGAGGTGGGGTGTGCACAAGCTTCTTGTGAGAGGCCCTTAGAAGCACATTTTGCCCAGGGTACTGCTGCCAGAGAGTTGGAGTTTACATTTATTAATATTTCTTTTACTACTTTGCTGTCTTTTTACAGTCCAGGGTCTTTGGGTTTCCACATCTGTTATGCCGTGAATTCACAGGGAAGAGGTTCCAGCAGCTCAGGCACCTACTGGTGCTCCTCGCGGTGCCCGGCTCTGGGTGGGCCAGGCTGGCCCTTCGGTTGAACCCTCTTTCTTTCTTTTTTTCTTATGCTTCCTTCTTTTTTGGGGGGGATGGAGTTTCGCTCTTGTTGCCCAGGCTGGAGTGCCATGGGCCGATCTCGGCGCACCGCAACCTCTGTCTCCCGGGTTCAAGTGATTCTCCTGCCTCAGCCTTCCCAGTAGCTGGGATTACAGGCGTGCGCCACCATGCCCGGCTAATTTTTTATTTTCTCTTCTTCTTTTTTTTTTTTTTTTTTTGAGACGGAGTTTCGCTCTTGTTACCCAGGCTGGAGTGCAATGGCGCAGTCTCGGCTCACCACAACCTCCGCCTCCTGGGTTCAGGCAATTCTCCTGCCTCAGCCTCCTGAGTAGCTGGGATGACAGGCACATGCCACCATGCCCAGCTAATTTTTTGTATTTTTAGTAGAGACAGGGTTTCACCATGTTCACCAGGATGGTCTCGATCTCTTGACCTCGTGATCCACCCGCCTCGGCCTCCCAAAGTGCTGGGATTACAGGCTTGAGCCACCGTGCCCGGTCTAATTTTGTATTTTCAATGGAGATGGGGTTTCTCCATGTTGATTATGCTGGTCTTGAACTCCCGACCTCAGGTGATCCACCCGCCTCAGCCTCCCAAAGTGCTGGGATTACAGACGTGAGCTACTGTGCCCGGCTAGTGCTTCCTTCTTTTTCTGGTTATTTTCCTGCACGCGTTCCAGGAAGCGGTGTCGGCTCTTAGAGTGCTCTCTGTGCTCAGTACGCACATTTATTCTCTTGGCCAGAATCTTGCCCTTAACTTGTTTGTTTACGGCAATGCTGACAGCACACTGGGGAACGCTGCAGATGTTTTTGCCATAGTAACATTGGTGGGTCATTCCTTTTGTGAACAGTACCCATTCGCTTGATGTCTAATGCCTTCAGTATCACCTTAATAGATTCCCATGTATGTGGTCAAAGGAACAACTCCATGTTTTCTTTCTTTTTGACAGTAGAACGTCCTGCAATAACAACTCCATGGGTTTTCTTTGGAGAGAGAGTCTTATCTGTGGCCCAGGCTGGAGTGCAGTGGTGCAATCTCGGCTCGCTGCAACCTCTACCTCCTGGGTTCAAGCAAATCTCCTGCCTCAGCCTCCCGAGTAGCTGGGACTACAGTTGTGCACCACCACACCTGGCTAATTTTTGTACTTTCACTAGAGAAGGAGTTTTTCCATGGTGGGCAGGCTGGTCTTGAGCTCCTGGCCTCAAGTGATCTGCCCACCTCGGCCTCCCAAAGTGTGGGATTACAGGCACAGGCCACTGTGCCCAGCCTACAACTCTGTTTTCTAGAAGGCCTGGAGAACATCTCTCAGGCACGTCTTCTCTTTCCCTTTGTGTTCATCATTTGGGCAAATCGCTGGAAGATGGTGGTTCCAGCTGAAAGGCTTTTTAAAATTTTTTACTTTTTTTTTCTTAGCAGACAGGGTCTTGCTCTGTTGCGCTGGCTGGGGTGCAGAGTTGCAATCATAACTTGTTGCAGCCTCAAACTCCTGGGTTCAAGCAGTCCTCCCACCTGAGGCCCTCAGACTGTCGGGATGACAGGGGCGAGCCACCACATCCAGGCCTTGAACCAGCCTTAAGTGTGTGACAGCCCTGCAGGGAGAGCCTGGACACTTTCTTCTGGAGGGGAGACGGTGGGACATGCATTTTCTTGGTGTGGCTCATGGCAGGGACGGTGTGATTCTGGAGCAGGTGGCTTCTTGCTCCATAGCTGTCTGGTGGCAGCCCAGTTCTGCAACTTGATCTTTGCAGGTAGCTCCTGGGAGTTCAGGAGCTACTTGAGTCTTTTAAATTCAGCTCTTCCAAGGAGTCTCTAGGCCTTTTAATATCCTGTACAAAATCCCTTTCTGCTGAAATTGCTTAATTGCTCCTGACCTATACATCCCCCTTGTCAGCATCGTTTCAGGTTTGCTTTCCCTGCTACGTTGAGGGCAGGTGCGAGGTCCTTTGCATCCCCAGTACCCAGCATGACTTCTGGTACTTAATTGGTAAGCAGTAAGTATTTGTTAAGTGGATAAACTCTTGGAGTGAGTTTTTAAAGCCAGTACGTGATAATGAGCTAGCTTTTAGTTCAATTAATATAAATGAAATTCAAGGTCAGGGATTGTTTACTTTAGACAAGTGTGTAATAGGTGGTCATGACATCTGACTTCAGATGATCTGGGTTAGAGTTGGTCTGTGGCCCAGGAGGAAGGTGGTTCAGAGCTCCCTGGTGTTTACCAGGCTGCAGGGGCAATGCAGGCAGATTCAGTTAGAAGGGAGGCGAAACTTCTCTGCCTCTAGCCCTGTATGTGCCCAGCACTATGCCAGGCACTGTTGCAGCCAGGGAGGAGAGGAGGACATAGAAGAAATGGAGAGAAAGATGCATTTCAGGAAGTTATCTTCAAGGAATACAAATCTAGCTGGGGGGCTCCCTGGAAGACAAGGTAATGAGGAGTCCATAGTAGCCAGAGGAAAGGCTGGAAAAGTGATCCAAGATGGCTTCCTGGACGGAGAGGTAACTGAGCAGAAGCAGAATTCAGGACTAAGTGAAGGGGTTATCCTGAGAAGTCAGAAGATAGGGAACAAGGAAGGCACTGGCCTCAGTGCTATGCCACGCATCCTTTAAGGTCTGTCTTGATCAGAGTCCGTCTGCAAGCTCAGTGCTTTCATAGTTTAACTGTGCCAGATACACTTGGGAAGTTACTGGCAGGCCCCAAAGTTGAACGCAGGGTTGTGACACGTCATGTGGTCTAACGATTTGGCCACTAGATCATGTTTTCTATTTATTTATCTGATCCTGAATAACAAGCTGGGAAGTTCTGCTTCATGGGGTGGCATAAGTGATGGAAGTGAGAACTGTGTTTCCTAAGCCGCGTGTCCGGCCACATGGTCTGACAAGCGGGAGTGATCTTGGACAACAAGGAGAATTTTGCAACTGTCTGGGAAATGTTGATGAGTGAATGATGAGAAGTGAGGTGACTCTGGCCCTGGCCTCGGGTGGGGAAAACACCGGCTGGCCACTGCGGGCCTTTCCCCGGTCCCTGCCCACCTGACTCAGTTGCTTTGGGAAGTTCCCTTTGCTCCAGCTCCAGCTGGGCTGGAGTGAGCCTGGCAAATGTGCTCCCTCCCTCTCTCTCTCCTCCTGGCTCCAGTGCCTGGGCCTGGCTGTCATTAAACTCACTCTGCGCTCAGCATGGGGCTAAATAAGCCATTCCCTGTCTGTGCCGCCTGCCTGGGGCCCTGACCACCCGTCTGCCTCATAACCTCCTCCCACAGGCGCTGGCAGACGCAATGGCGGCTCAGTAAATATTAGTTGGTGAACAGCAGGCTCAGGGTTCTATATTTGTTCCCTGCTTCTGGGTCACCACTGAGTTTCTCTTTTTTATTATTATTTTTCTTAGTTTTCCCATCCGGTGCTTCCCAGCAGAGCGAAGTTTCACAGGGAGAGTGAGTGGGCTCTGCTGGCCGCCCTCCTGCACTGTCTGGAAATTTCCCACCCTGGGTGGGCTTTGACCGCGCCAAGGCTTGAGGCGAAGTTCCTGGGAGCCGGAGCTGGAAGAGGAGAACGCATCCTTTTAGGGTATGGAGGAGAGCGGTAGGTGGGAGGGCAGGAGGAGGCAGAGGAAGAATAAGCCGATTAAGCTCCTGGGCAGGGCCGAGTGAGGATTGGCTTTCCAGCTGTGAGACTTGCTGTTTGCTTGAGTGAAGGTGTCAGCCCAGGTCAGCTTGTCTGAGGGGAGAGTGGCTTCTCAGATGATGTTCCTTGGGTGAGTGGGGAGGGCCAGGGGCTGGATGGTTTTTCTCAGAGCTCTTTCTACCCTCGGAGAAGCCTGTAGGGCAGAATTCACTTGATGACCACGCTGCCAGACGATTGGTTTTCTGATTTCATAAACTGGGACTTACACAGATGGTTGTATCATTGTTAGTTTGACCATGAATATCGAGAGTATATTCATCAAGCATCTGTAGAACATTTGGCAGTTTCTATAGCCAAAGTTTTTTTTTAGTTGATTTATGTTATTTTGATGATTTTTTTTGAGACAAGGTCTTGCTCTGTTGCCCAGGCTGGTGTGTAGTGGCACAGTCAAAGCTGACTGCAAACTCCAACTCCTGGGCTCAAGCAGTCCTCCCACCTCAGCCCCTTGAGCTGGGACTACAGGCATGCACTATAACACCCGGCTAATTAAATTTATTTTTTTCTTGTAGAGATGGGTGTCACTATGTTGACCAAGCTGGTCTTGAACTCCTGGCCTCAAGCAATCCTCTTGCTTCAGCCTCCCAGAGTGCTGGGTTTACAGGCGTGAGCCATCACACCTGGTCTGTAGCCAGATGTGTTAATGATGGCTTCCATGGGTTCTAGCTTTTGTGCCATACTTAGAAAATTGTACCTAACTCCTTAATTACAAAAATAATCACCAATTATATTATGGTACTCCTACCACCAATTGGTGGATTCAATGGGTTGAAATACAAGAAACCCCAAAACACTCCAGATCCTACCAACCCAGAAATAGCCATCGGCAATATTAGGTGAACGCTACTCCAGGTATTCTTCTCATGCCTGTAATTCCAGCACTTTGGGAGGCCAAGGTGGGCGGATCGCCTGAGTTTGGGTTTGAGACCAGCCTGGCCAACATAGTAAAACCCTGTCTCTACTAAAAATACAAAAAATTAGTTGGGCGTGGTGGTGCATGCCTGTAATCCCAGCTACTCAGGAGGCTGAGGCAGGAGAATCACTTGAACCTGGGAGGTGGAGGTTGCAGTGAGTCGAGATCACACCATTGCACTCCAGCCTGGGCGACAAGAATGAAACTCTGTCTCAAAAAGAAAAAAAGAAAAAAAAAAAGTATTAAAATTTCACTGAATGTGACAGAAGAAAGAGAAGCTGCAGTAAAATTAAAGGAATTAGTAAGCTTTGAAGAAATATGTTTTTTACAACAGAGATAATTTCCCAAAAGACTCCGGTAAAGTCAACAGCTTGTGAAACAGATGCTATCTTGTTTCCATTTTAGATAGTATCTATTGACTCTTGACTATGAAAACTGAGGACAGAATTCTCATGTTTTTTTCTTATGTCTCTTTTCCCTGATATCCCGATTGTGTTGGTTACATTATTGTCCACTTTTATAACATTTAGATTGTGTCCTGTGACCATAATCTCTGTAATGATTTTTTGTTGTTATTAAGACAGGGTCTAACTCTGCTACCCAGGCTGGAGCGCAGTGGCGTGATCTCTGCTCACTGCGACCTCCGCCTCCCGGGTTCAAGCGATTCTCCTGCCTCAGCCTCCTGAGTAGCTGGGCTTACAGATATGCACCACCACACCTTGCTAATTTTTGCATTTTTTATAGAGATGGGTTTCACCATGTTGCTCAGGCTGGTCTCAAACTCCTGGGCTCAAGCAATTCACCTGCCTTGGCTTTCCAGAGTGCTGAGGTTGCAGGTGTGAGCCACCACCCCTAGTCCGGTAATGATTTTTTGTTATTTCTTATCAGAAGGGTTTTAATGCTCACCATCAGTCCTCTTTTGATGTTTTCTGCATTCCTGAGCGGTCTGTATTTCCATTTCTGTATTAATTACATGCATTTCATTGTTAAGTCGTATTTCCTCCCTAGGAAGGGGACCATATTTTCTGACTTCTTTCCTACCCAAGAATTTCTGCCTATTGTCTTTACCAAATTGTACGATATGTTGGCTGAGGATAGTATTCTTGGCTCATAGTTTCTTTTGTTCAGAATTGTGGAGACGTTCTGACAGTCTTTCATTCTCTTCTGACACTGAATGGTGCTATGGGAAAGAAGAAGGCAGTCTGAATTTTTTCCCGTTTAAGAGAAGTTTTAGTGTGTTTCTCAGTTGTCTTCTTTCTTTCTTTCTTTCTTTCTTTTTCTTTCTTTCCTTCCTTCCTTCCTTCCTTCCTTCCTTCCTTCCTTCCTTCCTTCCTTCCTTCTTTCTTCTTTCCTTTCTTTCTTTCTTTTGTTTGAGACAGTCTCACTCTGTTGCCAGGCTGGAGTACGATGCCATGATCTTGGCTCACTGCAACCTCCGCCTTTCAGGTTGAAGCGATTCCCCTGCCTCAGCCTCCCAAGTAGCTGGGACTGTAGGCTTGCACCACCACACCTGGCTAATTTTTTGTTTTGTTTTGTTTTAGTAGAGACAGGGTTTCACCGTGTTGGTCAGAATGGTCTTCATCTCCTGACCTCATGATCTGCCCACCTTGGCCTTCCAAAGTGCTGGGATTACAGGCTTGAGCCACTGTGCCCGGCCTCAATTTTCATAATAAACCCTTTTGGGGAATAAAGAGTTTCTTCTGGATGCCTAAAAAAAGTCTTAATCTTTTAAGGTTTGATAGCTGAACACTGTAATGTTTCAGTATTGAACATTTGGGGAATACAGGGCATTATATCAGTTTTCAGATTCTGTTTTTCCTTTCATTTCAGGAAAATCTTGTGTTTTGTTGTGGTTGGTTTTGTTTGAGACTGAGTCTTGCTCTGTCACCCAGGCTGAAGTGCAGTGGCACAGTCTCTGCTCACTGCAACCTTTGCCTCCTGGATCCAAGCAATTCTCCTGCCTCAGCCTCTCAAGTAGCTGGGACTACAGATGTGAGCCACCACACCTGATTAATTTTTATGTTTTTAATAGAGTCAGGGTTTCACCATATTGGCCAGGCTGGTCTCAGTTCCTGAGCTCAAGTGAGCCACTGCACCCAGCCAGGAAAATTTTGTGTTTTATCTTAGAACACATCTTCCATTTCATTCTTAGTGTTGCACCGGACCGATCATAGAAAGTCAACACCAAGACAAAAATATGCCAAATTGCAGGGTCTTTATTGCCGGTGGCCACGGAGGAGGACTCGCGTCTCTCCAACCCGCGGCCCCGAAAGGAGCGTGTGAAGACCCTTTATACCCGTAAAAATCACCTTGGGAGTGAGGGTGTGGGGCGGGGGCTGGCGGTGAGGGGGATTCCGAACATTCCAGTGGATTCCTGGGCTAAGTCGGGGTGAGGGGCTCCGGACATTCCGAGGGCCAGGGGCCCCTTTTGACATTCTAACTGTTATTTAAGTGATTCACAAAAGTCAAGATTAGCATTTGTTTTCACATTGTCTGGGTAAGGTGGCGAGTATAGTCCTTAATTACTTATTCACATTTGGGTTATAGAGAGCAGTTTCAACAGAAAGCTGAGGTATGGTTGAGGTATGCAGTTTTACGGGGCTTTTTACCATGTCACATTAGGTTCTTTTCTTCAGGAACAGGAGTTATCTTTCGTTAGTCTCTTTGTCTTCTCACTGTTTGCTTTCATTTATCTTGCCCATCTGCATTCGCTGCGATTATCTCAAACTTTCCTTTAGCTATTTATGCCTAGTGTTCCCTTTTTTTAACGCTAAGCATGTGGGAGTGATTTATATCCTGCTTAAGGTCATCGCCAAGGTCTGATTGTAAAAACTCAAAAAATTGCAGCCTCAGGCATAAACGGGTTAAATGACCAGCAGAATTTTGTTCTGTAATTGTCATAATGTATTATTCCTTGAGTGAGGTTTTATTCCTCTTTTTTTGGTAAGCCTGCATCCTTTTTTGGTCTCATTGGTTATAATCTCATCTTTGAGCTCTCGTCTCGTGGAATTAATGTTTTAATGAAGTTATTCCTTGGTGTGGTGCAGTGGTGAGGAGCGGCTTTCTCTGGAGTTGTGGTTTACCTGTCTGTTGCTTGCTGTGCCTGCTGTTTCTTTTCCTCTTGGTCTATGGGAGTGCAGTTCTGCTGACATGTTCTGTTGGCTCTAAAATAAGAAAGGAACTGTATTCTCCAGGTGGAGGCCGATTTATCCCTGCCTCGCAGCTCCAGGAGCACTAAGGGCCGGCTATTCGTGACCTATTTTCTGTAACCTGAAGGAATGCTGTGTGGTGAAGTGGGGAGCTGGATCTGTCCTCTATTTAGGGATGTAATCTCTGTAATGTGGCTCAGCTCACTTCCTTGGGAGTTGTATTCCATTTCTTTTAGAAGAGAAGGTACACTCAGCTGGGCACGGTGGCTCACGCTTGTAATCCCAGCACTTTGGGAGGCCACAGGAGGTGTATCACCTGATGTCAGGAGTTCAAGACCAGCTTGGCCAGCATGGTGAAACCCTGTCTCTACCAAAAATACAAAAATTAGCTGGTTGTGGTGGCACATGCCTGTAATCCCAGCTACTCAGGAGGCTGAGGCAAGGAGACTCACTTGAACCTGGGAGGCGGAGGTTACAGTGAGCCGAGATCACGCCACTGCACTCCAGCCTGGGCAACAGAGCAAGACTCCATCTCAATTGAAAAAAAAAAAAAAAAAAAAAAGGCCGGGCATAGTGGCTTAAGCCTGTAATCCCAGCACTTTGAGAGGCCGAGATCGGTGGATCACAAGATCAGGAGTTCCAAGACCAGCCTGGCCAAGATGCTGAAACCTCGTCTCTACTAAAAATACAAAAATAAGTTGGGCATGGCGGCACGCGCCTATAATCCCAGCTACTCGGGAGGCTGAGGCAGGAGAATTGCTTGAACCGTGAGCTGAGATCGTGCCATTACACTCCAGCCTGGGTGACAGAGCAAGACTCCATCT